AAAAAAAAAAAAGGAAGACACTGATGAATTTTTATTAGCTTATAGTTTTAAACTACTGAAATATAGACTAAATTTGAAATTTAAGATTTACATGAGAGTTTATAAAAAAAAATGTCATTGTAAAATAAGAAAGAGATTTTAGTTGTATGTTTATGTATTTTACTCTTTCGTTATAGTTCATCACACACACAAAAAATTGATTTTTCCAAACCTTCGAAGGTCATTACTTCTTGTAAGATATATAATATTTCTCTTTTGATTTTTCTGTAATCTGTATTTTTAAATGCTTCATAATTCTTAGAATTTTTGAAAGTTTGTATTATTGCGATTGTCTTTAATTTTTTATGTTTTATTATTGTTGTTTTATTTTCATCACGTATATATATTTTTGATTACCTTGTTCTTGCAATTGTTTTTAAGCGAATTCGTTTGTTGTTTAAACTGTTTTTTTTTTTTTTTTCAAATTTTGGTGTTTCTGTGAACGATTTAAAATTAAAGAATAATTTAGATAATATATTGTATTTTATTTTGGTTGATATTTCATGTTTAATTTTGTTTCTTTTTCGTGTCTCTTTATGCTGCTCAGCGTCTTTTTCCATTCGACTATGACGTTCATATTCTATTTCATTTTGCCAAAGGACTCTATCTCGGTCTCGTTTTCGTTGTAACCGTTGCTCCTGATGTATGACATCCGCATCAATCTTCTGCTTCATTGAAAGTTGTTGTTTGACAATGAACAATTATTTAAAAACGTAATCAGAATATATACAAAGTTATTTGAAAAGACTACGTTCTTAATATAGAAAGCGAGAGAGGCAGAAAAAAAAAAAACAGACAAAAAGAAAGAGGGTAAAAAAAAAAAAAGGAAGACACTAATGAATTTTGATTAACTTATAGTTTTAAACTATTGAAATTTAAAACTTACATGAGAGTTTATAAGAAAAAATATCGGTGTAAAATAAAAAAGAGATTAAAAAAAAATTAAAAAAAAAAATATATAGTGTTTGATATTATTGTTATTGCAAAAATAAATTATAAAATATAAAAATATATATAATTTTATAATAACTACTTTTTATATAGTCTTTCGCATCAGTGTCAATTACTAATTATTGAAATAAATGTTTTAATTTTCTCTTTTTGGTGTTTTGTTTTTTATTTTTGCTGCATTTTGAGAAAAATCTAAAGATTTACCTTTTAATGGATTATATGTTCTTTTGTTTTTTTTATTTGATTTGGAAAGTGAATTATAATTTTATTTCTCTATACAAAACTGCATTGAGAATGTTTCTCAATCTTTCTTTTTTGTCATTGTATCATGGACTTTGATATTTGATTTGTGATAAGAAGGTGATTGTTGAAAATCGTTGTTCATTGACGTCAACTGCTGACTTGTAGCCATATCATCAGAAGTTTTAAACTTTGGTTTTATAAACAATTAAGTAATAATCTGCAACACATCAAAACAAAACACAAAATGTATGAAATTGATTAATAGTTAAGATGCGTATCTAAATATGTAACATATTTCACTTTTTTAAGTTTTTGAGAAATTGTTTTCATAAGTATTAGCTTGTTTTTTTAGTAGTATTCATTTTTTCTATATTTAAAAGTTAAGTGAAAAATCATCACTTAGAGTGATTGCTAAATTTATCCTAAACTACGGACTTCGCTTAGGGTCATATTCATATTCATTGCGTCAAATACAAATGTACTTAGGCCTTTCCTTACAACCATTTGAATTTAGTCCTTCGCTTAAGGACTGTTTCTCAACTATAAAAAAGTGACATTTCGTATGACTTTCACTTAGAGGTATTGCTTACTGCCCATTGTAATTAGGTTTTTGCTTAAAGTGTGTTTGCTGACTTTAAAAAAGTGTCATTTCGTATGACTTTCACTTAGAGTCATTGTTACGTTTTTAAAAAACTGTGGCTACTGACCTTCGTTTATGGGCATATTCTTGCCTCAAATAAAAATGTATTTAGGTGTTTGCTTACAAACCATTTGAATTTAGCGTACCCATATTGTCAAAAGTTGTAAACTTTGGTTTTATAAACAATTAAGCAATGATCTGTAACACATCAAAACAAAATACAAAATGTTTGAAATTGATTAATAGTCAAGATGTGTATCTAAATATGTAATATATTTTATTTTTTTAAGTTTTTGCAAAACTGTTTTCATAAGTATTAACTTGTCGTTTTAGTAGTATTCATTTTTCCTATCTTTAAAGGCTAAGTGAAAAATAATAACTTAGAGCGATTGCTGAATTTATCCTAAACTACGGTCTTCGCTTAGGTTCATATTCATATTCATTGCTTCAAATACAAATGTACTTACGTCTTTCCTTATAGCCATTTGAATTTAGTCTTTCGCTTAAGAACTGTTTCTCTGCTATAGAAAAATAACATTTCGTATGATTTTCACTTAGAGTCATTGCTTACTGCCAATTGTAATTAGGTTTTTGCTTAAAGTGTGTTTGTTGATTTTAGAAAAGTGTCATTTCGTATGACTTTCACTTAGAGTCATTGTTACATTTTTTAAAAATTGTGGCTACGGGCCTTCGCTTATGGACATATTATTGCCTCAAATAAAAATGTATTTAGGCGTTTGCTTACAAGCTATTTGAATTTAGTCCTTTGCTTTGGAATTGTTTGTGGACTTTAAAAAATGACATTTCGTATGACTTTCACTTAGAGTCATTGCTTACTGTCATTTGTAATTAGTTTTTTGCATAGAGTCTTATTCTTAGAGTTTAGAAAAGTGTCATGTCATATAGCTTTCACTTAGAGTCATTGCTATTTTCCAAAACTGCGGCCTTTGTGGCATTTCGTATGACTTTCACTTAGAGTCATTGCTTACTGTCATTTGTAATTAGGTTTTTGCATAGAGTCTTATTTTTAGAGTTTAGAAAAGTATTATGTCATATAGCTTTCACTTATAGTCATTGCTATTTTCCAAAACTGCGGCCTTTGTGGCATTTCGTATGACTTTCACTTAGAGTCATTGCTTACTATCAATTGTAACTAGTTTTTTGCTTGAAGTGTGTTTGTTGACTTCAGAAACGTGTCATTTCGTATGACTTTCACTTAGAGTCATTGCTACATTTATTGTAAACTGTGGCCATTGACTTTCGCTTATAGGCATATTCTTGCCTCAAATAAAAATGTATTTAGGTCTTTCCTTACAAGCTATTTGAATTTAGTCCTTCGCTTAGGAATTGTTTGTGGACTTTTAAAAAGTAGCATTTTTTATGGCTTTCACTTAGAGTCATTGCTTACTGCCATTTATAATTAGGTTTTTGCATAGAGTCTATTCTTTCGCTTCAGAAAAGTGTCATGTCGTATGACTTTCACTTAGAGTCATTGCTACATTTATTTTAAACTGCGACGTTCACTTAGGGCCATATTCATATTCATAAAAATGTACTTATACCTTTCCTTTGACTTTAGAAAAGTGTGATTTCGTATAGTTTTTACTTAGAGTCATTGCTACATTTATCTTAAACTGCGACCTTCGCTTATGGCTATATTCATTGCTTGAAATAAAAATGTATTTAGGTTTTTGCTTACAACCATTTCATTTACTTCTTCGCTTAGGGACTTTTTGCAAACTTTAGAAAAGTGACATTTCGTATGGCTTTCACTTAGAGCCATTAACTTTTGTAAATATGTTTGTGCAGTGGGTAAAAAATATGGAAGAATAACAGTAAATAGAAAACAGTAGGAGAGAAGCAAGTATGCACATTTGGATGAAAGATTTGTCGGCTTTATGTGACAGGTCCACACCCGCAAGAGAAAGGAAATCCATGAAGAGAGAGAAAAATGAATAGTCAATACAATGGTCGGCCCCTCTCTTCAAGGAAACCCTTATGATCTTTCGCTGCTAAATCTTGTGGATGAGCTTGCGGAGTTGGAGAAGAAACATGAAAATCGTAAAAGGCAGTCATGGCTGGAATGACATCAGGTGTGGGGTTATGTCGTCCAGAGCTTCGCTCCTCAATGATACACGTGGCCGCTAGGAAGACGAAGCACCGGAGGATGCAAATACCGAAAAACAAAAATCGAACAATGAATGAGAGAGAGAGAGAAAAAAAGGAGACGGGAGTGAAGGCGGAGGTTGGGTGGGCAAGGAGGACATAACTTACCTCCTTTCTTTCTCTCTTTGTTTTTCTCTCAGAACGACAAGTCACTTCCTGTAGTCAATGAGGATAAAGGAGACTGATCACACAGAGACACACACAAATTAGTTTCTCGGATTTATTGCTGCCGGTTCTTATCAGGGGTTTGGACCGACAAAATGATAGGATTGCAGGGTGTGTATGCGTAAAGTTGACCACTTTTTTCAAAAAAACGCAAACTCGAGATAATTTAGTGAGTCCTTATCAATCAGTCAAATGTATGCTGGACAAGATGTCGGGGTTCAACCTCTTGATAAGTCGGTGAAAGTTCGACAAAACAGTCTGCCACAGTCTTGCGCATCTATGATCAGTGATCAGTTGATCGATTGGTAAACTGCCACTTCATAATCATTCTGCTATCCCATGCGATGCAAATGTCAAGTACAGTTTTCACCCGAAATAAAACGCTTAGTC